TAATTTAATATTAATATTAGTTTAATAAAAAAATTTACATAATATTTTAAATTTATACAAAACTTAATAAAAGATAAAAATAAACGTTTAAAAAGATTTGGGTGTATTTTATTTAATAATTAGTATGTTTGTCTTTTCCTTGATAAACAATTATCACATCCTGTCCAGCAAGTGGTATGTGTTATTATGTTCCTTGCACGGTTCAAGGACTGTTCATGTGATAAATGTTTTAAAAAGTAGTTTGTTATAACCATGGTTTTTTAAAGAGATTTTCTTTAAATATTTTAAAAGAAGGAATTGACCAATTATTAAATGATTAGTTTTTAAATAAATTCGTAGTGACATAAGATATCACAATAGCTAAAACTCTTTTATAAAAACTTAAAATGTATAGTTTAGTCATTTCAAGTGTAATAAAATTCTACATTTTAACAATTTCTTCTTTAAGACTTTTTTGTTAAGCTTACCTTTTCTTCTTAAATACATCTTCGTGTATATCTAAATATGTTTAATAAGGTTTGTATTTGGACTTTATTATAGCCAAGGTAATTTATCAATATTCTTTATATCCGATCAATAATTTACTATATTAAAAGCGTGTTTGTTTGTGATCATTATCTTGTTATACGATAAATTTATCAAGTTCAGTGTCATAGAAAAATTGTCTAAAATTTCATGCTTAAATTTGTTCATAAGCTGCCCGGTTAAAGTGTTTTCAATAAAAAAGAGTACTCCTTTGATTGAAACCAAAAACGACTACTTAAGTTTATTCAAATTTTCGTGCTTCTGTCCACAATTGGGACTTATTATATTATTTTGTAATATGTCTGATAAAAATATAAACAAACATCTTAATATTACATGAAATTTAAAATAAAAAAAAACCTTTACTTTATAAAGCATATTTTCTTTATTCTTTGATAAAAATATTTAAATGAGAGTGTCTTATGTTTAAAACATTAAAACGTTATAAAAATAAATTTGTTTTCTTTATTTAATTTTAAAACCAATTGTAAAAAATAAATTAAAATTTGGTTTATTTATCAGTTTCCTCAACAGTCTTTTCATTATATTGATTAACTAATAAATCATAAAAGTTACACATTGATTTCAAAAAATTACTAATAAATCAGCCTCCTTATACAATGGTAGAAAATAAAAATGAAACCAACTTAAAATTTTGTTTAAAAAAGTATTTTAATAAAATTTCATTTTAAATTGTTTTTCATTTATGATAAAACGTTAAATTAAAAAAAGTTTTATATAAAATTATACTTTAAACAAAACTTGGTGTAAAAAATTTTAAAAAGAGGAAAAATAAATGAGACTTTTAGAAAATTTTTTATTTTCCCTCTTAAAATAATTTAATTAATTTTATTATTATCTCCTTAATGGCAAAACATGTTATTAAGGAAGATAAAATAAAAATAGTTATATTAAAAAAAGTAGAAGTAAAAATTTTAAAATTATAAATAAATTTAAAATAAGTAATGCAGGTTTTTTAGAATAATTAAAAGGTATAAATTAATGAAAAATATTAATAGAAAGAAAAGATCCGGTCGGCTAAAGATCTTTAATGAATCAGAAATTAATATTATTAAGAGCAAAGTAAATAAAAATTTAAAAATAAGTTCAAGAAAATTAGCTAAAGAGTTTAATGTACTATTAAATAAAGCAGTTATATTAAGAACATACAGAAACATTTCAAATGATAACAAATTGATTATTTATAAACTGTAAAAACCTTTTTTTAGCATAAAAAGTGTTTAATCAAGATTAATGTTTGCTATTAAAGAGCATTTATGGGATACTATATATTATTAGAAAAGAATTTTATGGTCAGATGAAATCAAAATCAAAAAAACTTATTCGGTTTAGATGGAATAGTTTATATTAGAAAACTAAGAGGTATGAGATTTAATGAAAAATATTTAAATCCATCCATTAAATATAAAGGAAAGTGTTTAATGTTACGGGATTGCTTCTCATACAAAGGTGTTGGTAAAATAGAAATGATTAAGTTTAAAATGACAACTATGTTATATACTCAATTTTTAAACAAAAATTCATGTTTATCTATAAAAATTTGGACATGGGTGACGATTTTATCTTATAACATGATAATTATCTAAAGCATAAAGCTGCTCAAACCAACGATTTTTTGAAATAAAAAATAGAACCTTTAAAATTGTCTACTTAAAGTCCAGATATAAATCCAAAAGGAAATTTATTGTAATTTTTAAAAATTAAGGTTAATGAAAGAAGATGAAAAAACATAAACAAATTAAAAAATGCTATAGTAAAATGTTATAAATTACCAAAAGAACTATGTAAATAACTTGTTTCTTCATTTCTAAAAAAATCATATAAATTTTTATATTCAAAGAAAGAAATAAAGTGGATTAAAATTAGTTGTCTCGTTTATTTTTTCAACTTTATATATTTTTTAAAACATATATTGTTTATAAGCATAATTATATATAAAATCTTTTTTATTTAACATTATATCAAAAATGAGAAAATAAGTTTAAAAAAATGTTTTTAAAATACTTTTTAAAACAAACTTTAAGTTAATCTCGTTTTTATTTTTCATTAAAGTATCTATAACAGAAATAAAAAAGAGAGATGATTTTATAATAATTCTATAAAAGCTCAGCTTCTGTTTCATATAATAGCTAATTTAGTTTCTCCAACACACTTTCAATTAGTATGTGTGACATTGGTTCTTCAAATCAATAAAAAACTTCGAATCGTTCACTGTATAGTGTTCCTTGAAGTCTTCATTGACCCTACCATAACCCCTCTAGCAATCCGTATGAATATGAATACTTAAGTAAGAATGTATATATTCTTTTGAAACAAAGATAAGCGTTTTTGCATCTCTCTTGTTTACAACCTATATGTAAACATCATGTGTTTTATTAACAATAAACCGAATACCCAAAAACTAAAACTCTAAGATAGAATTATTTTTTTGTTGAGATTTGAGTTTAAACTTTAGAAGTCTTTCAACGTTATTCTTTCAATGACCACCAAATAATGATTCATTTGCTCGAATTATATGTCTCACCACCGTTTGTTTAGATGTAAAAACCCAATGAGTTACTTCTCTAATATAATTAGCCCAGTTGACAATTAGCTCGTTTCTTGTTATTCCAAACTCCGGTTTCATCCCATGACGAGGCCGACTTTTAAAATAACAAAAGATGATTTTAGCTATTTTTTGAATTGATATTACAACTCTGTTTTTACTCCTCTTTTTTTTATAAAAAGAAAATGTTTTTAAAGAGAGTTGGCTCTTTATTGCAAAATCTGTAATAGAAAAGGAAGTTTTTATAATACTTCTTTCTTCTCGTCCTTAGATGCTAACATACCCACTCCATCATAAAAGCTAAAAAAACCTCTTCATTGTATAAAATTTTATATTAAATCTTCAAAATCTAACGATTTAAGAATATATAATTTTTGTAAAAATTTTTCAAGTTATACATTGATTTAATATTAATTTATAAGAATATTTAATCCTTTATTATTAATAAAAATTTATTGACCATGTATAAATAAATAATTAATTAATTCTAAAACCTTCACTTAAATAAAATTTTCAATTTATTTTTAAATAAAAAATTTTATAGAACCAATCAATCAAAGGAATACCTAAACAAGACTTTCAATCTCTTAATTTGATATTTATCCCCATATCATAACACACCCGCTATACTTTAATATGTTAATATTATTGTTCATACCAAACCTTCATGTAGGGTAATATTTAACATATTAAGCACCATCTTTATATAATAAAATAAAGTTTGTTTAGTAATTTAAAATAATTATATATTTTTTATTTTTATACCTATAAAATTTTTAAAAATTTCAAATATTTTTACTATATTAATAGGTTGGAGTAAAGGTTTTTAAAGCAATTTTAGTTTAAAGACTAAAATTCATCAATGTTTTTCAAAAAGTAGGTCTTAAAATTTTAATATTAAATTTTTCTTCAATTTTTTATAATTTTCAATGAAGTAATAAAAGATTTTGAATCATAAAGATATTTAATGTAAATTTTTATATTTATAATAACTTTAATAATTCTTCCTAACCATATTTATGACTGTAAAGCATCTCAAATTTGAAAAAACCAGAATATTTTTAGATTTAAATCTATAGCAAATCCTCTTTTTGATGCAACTTAAACCATTATTAAAAATTCTTTTATTAAATTTTTTTCAATTTCATTTAAATGTTGAAAAAAACATTAAAAAATAGCTTTAAAAAACGTAAAACAAAAAGAAAGATTTTACTGACTAAATTTTTTATCATTGTTTTTATTTTTTTATTAAATGTACTATAAATTAAAAATTACATGTAATTTTTTTATTTAACTTAAAGTTGATATTTAATCTAAATTATACCTTTCTATCATAAAATTGGTTTTTCTTACTTAGTTTTAAACTCGTGTTGAAAAAATTTTGTGGGTAGTTTCTTTAAAACACCACTTTATATAATATTTGGGGCATCATTCAAAACAGTGTTTAATATTAGATATAAGAATATAAAATAAAATTAGATATTTACCATTTAAAAACTGTTTTTGTTTTAATAAGATGATTCTTGAAGAAAATGATGAAAAAATATTGAAATTAATAATAATGTTTTTATCTTATAAGAAAACAAAGTTAAAATAACAAAAAATATTAAAAGATTTTTAATTTGATAAGCTACTGAAAAACGGTTAATTTTTTTATCATATTTACAATATATAAATTTAAAAAGTTATTTAGAGTAAATAATTTTAATATAGACATGTTTATTAATTTCAATATAAAAAAGTTGA